AGTGTTTTCAAACCAGTCTCACAACCCTGAAAATTGTTGGACTTAAGTTAGTATCATTTGCCCCCACTATTCATAATATGGAAACAGTTGTTTCTCCACACCACCCAAACAAATGGGTCAACTGAGTGTGTGGTTGTTTTATATGGTCTAACACCCTGGCTTTTTTAGGTTTAAAAATATTTTCAGTTAAAAGAAAAAATATCTGCTTTCCTTCTGTCCTAAAACTGAAGTGAATTCTGCACCAACACCTCACATAGACTGCATTAATGACATATTAGGGTTTTTTACTTTCCGGAAGGAGCTGTTTCTATTGAGATACATATCCAGTCTTGTAACAGTGTTCTTTCATGCTCAGTGGTGAGATTCAGCTGGTTCATACCACTTCGGCAGAACCTGTAGCTAATTTCTTATTGCCCAGGCCCAGAATGGACTTCCAAAAGCGGCATCCATGCAGAGAACCGGTTGTTCAGATATTTGAATCCCACCATTGTTCAGGCTGCATGATATAGAGCCAAGTTACATAAGGAAGTGAAGGGTTCTGGAACAAAGGGAAATTGTTTAGTTTAACTGTTGCTTTTTGCTTTTTGTAATCAGCTTTCGCACCAGAGAAATTTCATTCAAACTTGGGAAACGTATACCTGGCACTTCTGGACGTGACTCTGTCAGCATTTCAGATTGTTGGCCACCCAGCTGCTTAATTTGATCAAATAAAGTGCTGCTTAATTAAGAAGTCTCCTCTTGGGTTATCTAATTAGATTAATATGGCATCTCAAGTTTAAGTAAGGGACTGGGACTTTACAGCACCATGCATGTATTTCATTTGTATGGTGCCATCACAACACACATGCTTCTGATTCCCTAGTAGAAACTGCATTCAAAAGTGTATAGAAAATACATAACACGAGACATAGCATCCAAACACTTTTTTCCACTGGAACGATATATAGCTGGGGTCTTCAAACTTGGCCCTTTTATGACTTGTGGACTTCAACTCCCAGAATTCCTCAGCCAGGCACACTTTAGTTTTGAGTGATATTTTCACTCAACTGTTCACTGGCTGCCTATGATAAGAAGATGCAATATATGAGACTATTCAAATATGTTGAAATTAAGACCATGTACCCACATAAATTTTTCACGTAGCACTTGCTTAGCCCAGAACATGCAATTAGTAACTAAGTAATAAGCAGGTGTGAAATGGCTGACACTGGTTTCATAATTTCTGTTATCAGCTACAAAGTTTCCCATGTAAATATAAGCTATTTAACGCAATGAATGGAAAGGCTTCTATCTTGCTAAAAGGGGTCCAGTGAGAAAGCACCACATATACCACAGTAATGACATCTTTGAGAACATTACTATTTTCTCTGTAGAAAAAACTTTACCAAATGGAAGAAGGTTGTTTAGGTTGTTAACGACAGTACAAACATCGCGCCTCTCAGCTTGCCTTCCAGCCCTCCCAGTATGGGTTCAGTTTGCCATATAATGGGATGGGGCACAATCTCAGCTACTAAAGGTAGGGATCTCTGTCTATACTCTCAGACCCAGCTTTTGATGTAACATCAACTATGTCTAGGGTCCCACTATGTCACCCATGAATATTGGAATGTGGATATACAATGGGATTCCCTAAGATTCCATTTCTTCATCAGTTCCACACCCAAAAGGTCCTTGGAATAAAAGAAATAAGTAAGGGACTGGCATGCTGTATAGCTGAAAAAACTTCTATAGGATCAGGTACCTTGGTATGCATAACAAAAGTGTACAATTTGATGATGAGCAGAGAAGATACACAAAGGAGATGTAAGGACACACCCCACTTTGCATCTTAAGAAGACAGACCTCTTGGAATAATTCTTCCAATAGGCATCCTTTATTAAGAGAAAATGGTTGCAGTCATTCTAGACAGGATTTGGGGTCCAAGCTCTCCCATTCAAGGTTTTAAGGGTTCCCCAGTAGCCCCACCCAAACACCCCCTTCTACCAGTGACAGTCTCAGGCATTACACTCCCACCCCCTTTTCCTTACTGCCAACTGGATGGAGACTTCAGAGAGAACTACATGAAGGTAATAGCCCCATTGTTATGGTTAGTCCGTTTGGTGATATACACATCCAGTTCCTTTGAAGTGTACCGAAGGAAGTGAGGGCCAAAAAGCCGCTTTGTTCACCCCCTTCCCTTCATTGTATGACAGAATCCAGAGAAGGCAGAAATGGTATTTTCTATAGTTGATATGTAGAGATGAAATATAATTGGATTCTGACATCCTGCCCCCTTAAAAAAAAGACAGATCCACCTGAAAGAAAACAAAGCAGGTATAAAAGTTAGTCAGGCTTGTGTGAAACTTCTTTAATAGCTTCAGGGCTCTGACATGACATTTATGGACCCACTCGTTTTGTGAGGCAGGGAGGTGTTTCCAGGCAACTAGGTACTGAGTCGCTCCATGATATCTCCTAGAGTCAAGGATTTCCTTTATTTTGAAATGTAGTTCACCCTCCACCATGATTGGAGGTAGTGGTGGGGGGATTTTTGGCTGTAAAGGTGACTGATGCTCTCTTTTCAGCAAGCTGCAATGAAAAATTGGGTGTATTTGCCTGAGATTTTTGGGTAATTCTAATTCTACTGTTACTGGGTTTATGATTCTTTTAATTGGAAAAGGCCCTATATATTTTGGTCCAAGTTTTTTTACAGGGCTGTAGGGACTTTAGGTATTTTGTAGATAAGTACACCATTTCTCCTATAATGAATGGTGTAGGCTCAACCCTTTTTTTATTGGCTTGTTCCTTGTATGCCTTCCAAGCTTCATCTGGTGGTTTTCTAACTATTGGCCAGGTGTCTTGTAATTGTTCCATCCATTCTTTCAGTGATGGGATTGATGGTTCGTTTGGGGTTAATTCTGGCATGGGGTTGAAACTTTGACCGTTGGCTATTTGAAAAGGAGTGTAACCTGTGCTGGAGTGGACTGCATTATTGTAGGCAACTTCTGCAAAAGGGAGTAAGTCCGCCCACCTGGTCTGTTGGAAATTAAGAAAACATCTTAGATATTGCTGAAGTACTGAGTTCATTCCCTTGTGGGTGGTGGCTAGATATCAGTCCCTGAGTGGTTCTTAAAAGGGATAAAAATTCCTTCCAAAATGCAGACGTAAATTGCACTTCCCTATCAGAGATGATGCATTGGGGTGCCCCGTGCAATCTGTAACTGTGCTGGATGAAAAGTTTTACTAAGGCTTTTGCAGTGGGAATCTTTTGGCAAGGGATAAAGTGCACCTGTTTGGAAGACAAGTCTGTGACCGTCCAGACAACAGTATTCCCATTGCTTTCTGGCAATTCCACTATAAAATCCATGGCTATTTCCCTCCAGGGGGCTGAGGGATTTGCCACTGTTTGTAATAGTCCTGGCGATTTCTCTTGCAACCTCTTTGCAGTAGCACATTTTGGGCAGCTGGCTACATAACTTTCTATGTCCTTTTTTATGGATGGCCACCAAAATTGCCGTTTAATTAAGTGTAAAATTTTTACAAATCCAAAATGCCCTGCTGATTTTGTGTCATGGCAAAGCTGCATGAAAGTGACTCTTTGGGTTTTTGGTATATATAACTTTTCCTCTACCCAAGGCAACCCATCTCTCATTGTGCACACATTTTTGTTTTTCTGGAACCATTCATCTGTTTCCAAACTTTTCCGGAATTCAATTCCAGTTTGGCTGTCCAGTTGTGGTTTTAATTTAGCTTGGGTTCTTGTGGTTACTGGTGCTGCCAGTTGTGAATCTGCCATCATTGATTTAGAGTCTGTGGCTCACGCGCTGTTATATTGGGGCATGCAAGATGTTCTTTCTCCCTAAATGTTTGAGCTTAAATTGGAACTGGTGAAAATGCTGGGACCAGCGGACTTGTTTGGGATTGAGTTTCCTTGGCGCTTTCAGGGCTTCCAAATTTTTGTGATCAGTCCACACCTGGAAGGGGATTTTGTTGCCTTCCAGGAACTGTCACCACATGAGTAATGCCCAACACATCCCGTATGCCTCCTTCTCCTATAAGGGCCAGCGCTGTTCTGTTTCCGTGAGTTTCTTGGATGTATATGCACAGGGTTGCAATACTCCATCATCGTTTTCTTGTAATAGAACAGGCCCCACGTCCACATCACTTGCATCTGTCTGTATTAGGAAGGGCTTATCCATGTCTGGATGCCTTAGTACTGGTTCGGTAGAAAAAAGTCTCTTTAGTCTCTCAAATGCTGGTTGGCACTCCATTGTCCATGTTAGTGGCTGGCTAGGTTTTACTGAGGATGCTCCCTTCGTTTTTAGTAAGTTAGTGAGGGGCAAGGCTATCTGGGCAAATGAGGGGGTGAATTGGCGGTAAACGTTTGCAAAGCCCAGGAAACTTTGTAGTTGCTTCCTTGTGTGGGGTGGTGCCCAATCTAATACTACTCTGACCTTCTCTGGGTCCATTTCAATGCCCTGGGGGGATATGCGATAACCTAGGTAGTCTATCCTTTCCTGGTGGAATTCGCATTTTGAGAGTTTGGCATATAAGTGGGCGGCTCGCAGTTTCTTTAAAACCGCTCTGACAAGGTTGATATGTGCCTCTTTTGTTTCGGTGAAGATAAGAATGTCTTACAAGTAAACCCCCTTAAACAGGTGTTTCCTTAGAATGTCATTGATTAATTGCATAAAGACTGTAGGGCCCCCTTGTAATCCAAATGGCAAGACTTTGAATTGATAACACCCCATGGGGCAGTTAAATGTGGTCTTCCATTCGTCCCCTTCCTTAATTCTCACACGATAGTAAGCTTCCCTTAGGTCTAGTTTAGAAAAAAAATTTCCCTTTCGAGAGAGCATGTCTTTCATGAGGGGCAGAGGGTATAGGTTGCTTTCACTGATGTTGGAATATTCATGAACAGGAAGAGTCATGTGGTAACTCAGTCAGCCAATGTGAAGAAAGTGCTACTGAGTCTGTTCAAAAGAGTATTGAGTTAGGAGCTGGATTTCCAGTCTCAAGTTTTGTCTCTGGTCTGTCTCTGTAAGAAGTCTTCAATTAAGCTATGTTGCTGTAAAGAAGAATGGTATTGTAAATATTTTTATATAAATATATGGTATTGTAAATATTTTTATATAAATATTTGAATCAGCTAAATGCAGTCAACTGTGAGAGCTTCTGATTTATTTTTCACCATTAGAGAAATTAAAATTCTCTAATAGGTTATGCGCCCAGAGCTTACTAAGGACTGCATTGTAATTTAAAGCTGGAAGAAATTGCCTGTGTTTAGAAAGTATAAGAACAAGGCAGAATTAGCAGAATGGCTGCAATGGAATTTGAGGAAAACTCTGTGCCTCGTTTGGGCCAGAAGAATTACATTGTGTGGGCTGCAAAAATGGAATGTTTGCTGAAAGCAAAAGAGCTGTGATACATTGTTGAAAATCCACCACAAGTGTTTGCAGCAGTTGATCAGAAAAGTCATGATAGAGCAATGGCTTATCTTATCTTGAATTTAGATGATGACCAATTTCTAAATGTTGCAAATTTAAAGACTGCAAAGGAGATATGGTTGAAATTGAGAGCTGTGCACATGAATGTTTCTGCTTGCAACATAGTGCAATTGTCAAGAAAACTTTACAGAGCCTGTTTGCAACCAGGTGAATCTGTGGAACAGCATTTAAATAAAATGCAAAGTTTATTTTTGGCCTTAGAACAACATGGGATTAAATTCCCTGAGTCCCAGAAGGTTTTATTGGTGTTGAACAGTTTAGATAAAACCTGGGACACAGTTTCTGCAATATTTGAGTGCAAAGAAGAGCAAGACTTAAATTTTGAGGCTTTAAAGGCATGTTTGCTTAATGAAGAAGAAAAACACCATTTTAGAAGCAGCCACGAGGAGGAGAAATTCCTGAGGAGGGAGTCCAGACTGCAAGTCTCCAGAGGAGAAGAAACAAGCAGATCAGACCCGGACCAAATTGCAACAAAGGAGAGATTTTGCAAGCAGAGAGCTGCTCGGCGGGAAAAGACTTGCTACAATTTGCAGAAAAAGACATTTGTGCAAGGAAAAAGGACTGCTTTGCAAAAGGAACATTTTGGTATTGCAAAAGTTTGCAATAGCAACAATAGAGACAAGTGGCTAATAGATAGTGGGGCAAGGCAAACAATTGCTAATGATTCTAAATTATTTTGCAGGTTTGTTCCAGTAGCACAAGAAGCTGTGGCTTTGGCAAATGGCCAGAAAGCAAAAGTTATTGGAAGAGGCGATGTAAAAATTCCATATTTGGAATCAAAGTTTACCAATATGCTTTGTGTACCTGAGATGGAACATAATTTGTTAAGTGTGTCTAATTTAGACAAACAAGGTTTTGAGGTCATTTTTGTAAATGGGAAATGTCTCATCAAAAGGAATGGGAATATTTGTGCAGAAGGCATAAAGGAAGATAATCTATATGTATTGCAGGGACAAAAGGTTCAATGTTCCCATATATTTAAGAATGTTGCAGAGCATGATTCATGTGTTCATCTTCTGCATAGAAGACTTGGCCATGCAAGCTTTAAAGTTTTGCAGCCAATGCAAGATTTTGCAGAAGGGCTAAATTTGAAGGGATGCAAAACATATTTGGACTGTGCAGTATGCAAAGCATCGAAGTCAAAGGCATTCTCAGTTAGTAAATGTAGCACAAGACAAACAAAAAGTTCTAGAGCTGGTTCATGCAGATCTGGTGGGACCTATGCAAGCCAGTTTGGGAGGAGCAAAATATGCACTGGTAATTGTTGATGATTATAGCAGGTATTCATTTTGCTATTTGCTTAGAGCAAAGACAGAGGTGCTACAACAATTCAAACAGTGGGTAAGTTTTGTAGAGAGAAGGTACAGACAACAAGTGTGTCAGTTGCAAACTGACAGAGGTACTGAATTTATGTCAACTAAATTCCAACAATGGTTGGGGCAGTTGGGGATAAGACACAGACGTAGAAATCCTTACTCAGCAGCAGAGAATGGTGTAGCTGAAAGAAGGAATGGTGTTTTGCAAACAATGAAAGATTCATTATTGGAGGATTCTGGTTTGAGCAGGTCATATTGGGGAGAAGCCATATTGACTGCTAATTATATAGTTAACAGGCTATGGAGTTCCTCCATTAATAATACTCCATATGCCATTCTATATGGGAGAAAGCCATCACTGGCACATTTGAGAATTTTTGGAAGTACTGCATGGGTACATATTCCAAAAGCAATTAGAAGAAAGGGACAGCAAAAGGCAAAAAAGCTCAGGTTTGTGGGCTATGAGCCAGGGTCAAAAGGATATTGCTTTAGCGATGGAAGTAAAAGAGTTATAATTTCAAGGTCTGCTAATTTTGCAGAACAAAATTGGGACAGAATTAATGCAAATTCTGGGTATGTCTCACTTAATGACGGTGATCTATTTAGTGATAATAATTCATCTAATAATGAAAAAATCATTATTGAAGATGTCCATATTTCTGGAGAAGAGGCTGAACAAGACAGGAAGCCAGAAAGACTTGAGACACAGGAGCAGTTAATACCACGTAGGTCAGAGCGATGTAATAAAGGAATTCCATCTGACAGGTATTCTGCCAGCAAGGTAAAGGTTTGCAATGTGTGGTATGAGCCAAGAAGTTATAAAGAGGTGTTGGCATTACAAAAAGCTGAACAAGAAAAATGGAAGGAGGCCATGGATAAAGAGATGAAATCCATGGGAGACCATGAAGTATTTAAATCAGTGACTTTGCCACAGGGAACAAAAGCTGTGGGTTGTAAATGGGTATATAAGAAAAAGGTATTGCCAAATAATGATGTACAGTATAAGGCCAGGTTAGTGGCACAATGTTTTTCACGATTAAAGAATGTGTTAAGTCATTAGGTCTGATGTCTCTTCCTGTCATGAAGGGAGAAGTGTTGGAATATTCATAAACAGGAAGAGTCATGTGGTAACTCCGTCAGTCAATGTGAAGAAAGTGCTACTGAGTCTGTGCAAAAGAGTATTGAGTTAGGAGCTGGATTTCCAGTCTCAAGTTTTGTCTCTGGTCTGTCTCTGTAAGAAGTCTTCAATTAAGCTATGTTGCTGTAAAGAAGAATGGTATTGTAAATATTTTTATATAAATATAAAGTTATTTGAATCAGCTAAATGCAGTCAACTGTGAGAGCTTCTGATTTATTTTTCACCATTAGAGAAATTAAAATTCTCTAACAACTGATTGTATTCAGGGCCCTATAATCCACGCATAAGCGTAAAGAGCCATCCTTCTTCTCTCTAAAGAGGACCGGGGCAGCCACTTCAGGCTTGGCTGGCTCAATGAACCCTCTCTCTAGGTTGTTTTAATGAATCTCTCCATTTCCTCCTTCTCCTTTGGGCTCATGGAGTATAATCTGGGCTTCGGGAGTTTTGCTCCAGGCTTGAATTCAATGGCACAGTCTGTGGGTCAGTGGGGGGGGGGAGCTCATCCGCCCTCTCCTCACTGAAAACTTCAGCAAGGTCTCTGTATTCCTCTGATATTTCTGTTAGTCCCTTTTCCTCTCCCATGGATGCTTTTACTATTCTTGATTCTGGTAGCCCCCCTTGGGATTTTAAGTCCATAGGGTCCCCCTTCAGGAATTTGATTTCCGTCATCCTCCAATTCACCCAGGGGTTCCATTTTTTTAACCATTCCATTCCTAGGATCATTGGGCATTCCATGCCTGGGGTCACCACAAACGTTATGTCCTCCTAATGTTTGCCCAGGGAGAGGTGTGTTGGTAAAGTGGCTAGGGTAGCTGTCACCCCTCCTGCTATGGATCCATCTAACTGGCCAAATGAGATGGGTTGTTCCAGTATCCTCGACTGAATTCCCAGATTCCCCACTAGTGTTGGGCTAATGAGGCAGCGGGTGCAGCCAGAGTCTATTAAGGCTTTCACCTTCACGGTTTCGGGCATGGGGGGAATTAATATAGTCACTGTCTTGAGGATGGGTGCGATGCGTCCACTTACCAGGGGTTCGCCCTCCGAGCTGTCATCTGAGGCATCCACTCACCCTGCGATGTAGGCTGGAGTTTTTTCCCCCTGATGAGCAGAGGTGAGGGGTTCCACAATTTCCATCATTCTCATGGCAGTTTCTTTTGGCTTAGCTGAAGGCTTTCTGGATTTGCTGATTGGGGATTTGTCTGGGTTGTGCTGGGGGGTTTGGAGCAGCATTCTACAGCTCGATGCTCTTCTCTTCCGTATTTGAAACACCCCATTTGCTTCTTGGCTGTAGCCAATGGTTTCACTGGTTCGTGTGTCAACTCAGGCGGGGAGCAGCTCCATTGTTTTCCTCGGCAGTGTCTCTTCAATATGTCGATCTCTGCTTCCTCTGCAAAGACGTACCATTCCTCAAGTTGGTGTGGGTCCCCTTGGGAAAGGCAAGCATCATATAGGTCATAATTTAGACCGTCTTTGAAATGGCTAAGGAGGATGTCTTCTGGCCAATTCAGTTTGCTGGCAATGGCCCGGAATTCTTGTGTATATTCAGCCACCGGGCGTTTGCCTTGCCTCATTGTTTTTATCCTTTTGCAGGCTTTGCGATCAGCCAGGGAGTCTTCAAATCGCCTTCTCAGAGAAGACATGAAACGGTTGAAGTCGTTGAGTTCTGGGGCATTGGAGCCATGCAAGTTCACCACCCAATCTGCAGCTGGTCCATCCAGGGCAGATTGCACGATCCGGATGTGGGCTTTGTCGCTAGGGATGTCCCGTCCATATTCCTCCATGTAGCTGAGGACTTGGATTAGGAAAAACCCCAAGCGTGTTGGCTCCCCTTTGAATTTCACCTCCAATGGCGGACGTCTTGGAATGGATCGGTGCCTCTGTTGTTGGTGGTAGTGTCTTCCGTCCAGATCGCCATCTGTGGTTCGGTAGGGGGTGGGGACTACTGGATCAGCAGATGTCCCCAGGGCTGCAGGTTCCACTTCCCCCTCGGTATCTCTCCCTTTGCGGCTCCAGGAGCTGGGGCGGCCGTAGGGCTCAGGATTCTCTTCTCCTAGGGAGCTGAGAGTTCTCTTCATCAGGTCAATAGCTTTCTCTAGGATCCAGTCTGAGTACGGTGCCCAGCTTTCTCCCTCTTTACTTGCGTGCAGGGATTTCTCCATCTCCTGCTTCCATTCTGGTTGCTTGGTCCCCCGTCTCAGGGTCACCTTTCTTGATTCCTTTCCCCACTCACTTTTCTTTCCAACGCCCATTGACCAGCGAGGCTTGTGTTCCCGTGTCTCCACCACTTCTTCTCCTGAGGAATCTGATCTCTCGGATCCCGACACCCGGCAAGGTTCCAGTCGGGGCAGCAGCTCTCTTTCCGGGGAGTTTTCCCCCTTTCTTGCTCCATTGTCTGACATGGTAATTTTTTGCAAAATCCCCCAGCGAGGGTCTCCCTTCTAGATGGATTAATTTTGCAAGTCCTGTCTAATGTAAGGACCCACCCCACTTTGCATCTTAAGAAGACAGAACTCTTGGAATAATTCTTCCAACAGGCATCCTTTATAAAGAGAAAATGGTTGCAGGCATTCTAGACAGGACTTGGGGTCCAAGCTCTCCCATTCAAGGTTTTAAGGAGTTCCCCAGTAGCCCCACCCAATCACCCCCTTCTTCCAGCGACAGTCTCAGGCATTACACTTTCACCCCCTTTTCCTTACTCCCGACTGGATGGAGACTTCAGAGAGAATTACATGAAAATAATAGCCCCATTATTATGGTTAGTCCTTTTGGTGATATACACATCCAGTTCCTTTGAGGTGTAGCAAAGGAAGTGAGGGCCATAAAGCCCCTTTGTTCACCCGCTTCCCTTCATCGAATGACAGAATCCAGAGAAGGCAGAAATGGTATTTTCTGTAGCTGATAACTACAGATGAAATATAATTGGATTTTGACAGGAGAAGTACTTTTTTCGCTGTCGCAATAACTTTACCAGATGGGACAAGGACATCATGTTGATCAGGCTGGACAATCCTGTTAACAACAGTACACACACCGTTTCTCTCAGCTTGCCTTCCAGCCTTCCCAGTGTGGGCTCAATTTGCTGTGTTATGGGGTGGGCACAACCACATCTCCTCAAGTTAAGGATCTCTGTCTATACTCTCAGACCCAGCTTTTGATGTAACATCAACTAGCTCTAAGGTCCCACTATGTGACCCATGAATATTGGAATGTGGATGGACAATGGGATTATCTAAGATTCCATTTCTTCATCAGTTGCACACCCACAAGGTCCTTGGAATAAAAGAAAAAAGTAAGGGACTGGCATGCTGTATAGATAAAAAAAAAACCTATAGGATCAGGTTTATTTATAGCAGTGCTGTTGGGAATCAGAAAAGTCCCATTAGCATGGCAGTCTTGCCTAGCTACATTAGCTTTAATAATGGGGTGTTTTGTGAATGGTCATGGCCGTTTTGGAAATGGAGAAGTCTCCCACAGAGGTTTTCAGAGTATATTTACCACTTGCTCTCAAAATACCAAATATGAACTCAAAAACATGGTCTATCCTTGGATGGATATAAAATCTCTGTGGATGGTTGCAGAGGACTTCTTCCTTTTAAGTCCTGGTGGTGCAGTGGTTAGAATGCAGTATTGCAGGCTATCTCTGCTCCCAGTCTGGAATTCGATCCTGACGGGGCTCAAGGTTGACTCAGCCTTCCATCCTTTTGAGGTTGATAAAAGGAGGACTCAGACTGTTGGGGGCAATATGTGGATGCTGTAAATCACCCAGAGAGTGCAGTATATAGGTCTAAGATTGCTTTTGCTAGTAAGGCCATGGAAGTGTTACATACACTCTCAACTTTGGCTTATGGTCATCCACACGTTCAAGCCTGTCAAGGTAGGTTGATGTTGTAAGCCCACCTTGTTTTCTACCTAGGATTCTACCAAATAGGTGTAGCTAGAGCAGACAAATCACACAGCCTTGGTCAAGAGCTGAGAAATAATTAAGGATTCACACAAACAATTTTTAATTAACTACTGAGGCACCACAGTTTTTTTGAAATACATGGAGACCCAGTGAATTTAAACTTTACTGCTTTCAATGCAAATTTGCTCTTTCTCATACACACATATACACCCATCCATGTTTAGCACATCCTTCTCAATTAGGCTGCCAGGCACCAAATAGAGGGACAGAAATTCCTACGTTGTGAATCCAAAGATGACTCGAGGAGTGGGTGACCCCTATTTATCCTCAAAAGTTCTTGATTTGTTGATTAGCTGGGATTGGGGTTTATTCCACATTCTCAGGCTCAGCTTTGTCTGATTCAGATGACATTTTTCCTTTGTTTCCTTAGATTTATTTCCATCTCATCTGCCCTCCGCAAAAGATCTTTTAGACAAGATTCCTGGCTTTTTGTTCTTGTACACAATACAAATTCATGGGTCTGCTTCATCTTCAGATATGGAAGTTTCAGTATGCTGGCTGAGGAATTTTGGGAGTGGAAGTTCACAAGTCTTAATGTTGCCAAGTTTGGAGACCGCCATTCTAGGTCATCTCCAGGGGATGCGAGATCAATTCTATGAACTAGCAAAATCCCCACTATTTCAACATGGCAATCTTTGCATAGAGTGCCAGAGAAATTTGAGAAACCTTCAAATGTCCATCAGCTGATTTAAGACCTATGACAAAAAAGATCCTGTGCAAACATATAAGTAAATCTGATTTTCCTCATCCCTTTGAACAGCTTTGGAAGACAATACTTCCTATTCCAGGCAATGAGATCAGCTCCATTGGTTGGAGACAATGGAAATTATAGCTCTATGAATCTAAGTGGTAAATTATGAAAAGTAGAATTTTCCCTATTTTTTATTTTTTTCAGTGACTTATCCCGATGTCCCTCATTGTGCTAACATTAACATACTTGATTATGAGGTGTGTCGAGCAGCTCACCGAGGGTTGCCAGCAACAAGCAGAACATTGTGTGCAGGTATCCTGGAAGGAGGCAAAGATTCATGTAAGGTAAGATGATCCATTTTAAGACAGACTCCTAAAGAAATGATACTAATTTTCAATGCTATGACTGAGACCTAACCTTGAAGGCATCTTGTAGAAACATATAAAGTTATGGCTTTTGCTAACTCAAATTCCTTCTAGGTGTCTAGATTTCCAGACTTCCCAATACTGGTGATTCTGGTGGGGGAAACTCAAGAAGTTAATTTCTTCTACAAAGATCCTAGACTGGGGAACATCGAAGTGATATATTGGGGGCTATATGTGAATGGATGATGGGAGGGAATTGTTTACTCCACTTTCCATTCATAGATACTGTAGTAATGTTTCATGATTGATTTTTCTCAACAGTGTGACTCTGGGGAACCCTTCATCTGTAATGGACAAATCCAGGGCATTTTATCTTTGGGGGGCAATACTTGTGCCCAACCATGTGAGCCTGGCCTCTACACCAAGGTCTTTGATTATACTGACTGGATCCAGAGCATTATTTCAGGAAATATAGCTGCGACTTGCCCCCCGTGAAAACTTTTGAAAAAGTTAAGAGGAGAAAATGTAACATATTAGTACATCTCTTCTATATCCCTAACCATATTCAACTGCATTGGAATATATTCCCAGGCAGTAAGCTTTTTTCAGACTCAAGCCTTTGAAGTAAGAAATGCTCAAAATAGTGTTGCAGGGATCATGTCCCATTTAATTTCAGTATAAAACAATCTCAGTAAAATGGAGGCCTGTTTTAGGGTGAGGTGCAAACTTTTCTGACTCTAAAATGGGCCATTCCAAATATTTCAACCTCTGAATATCTTTCATTTCTGTCCACTTCTGGGACAGTGGGGTCTTTGATGCTCTCTGAGCTTCTCTCCTTGCAGATGTTTCATTACCCAGCTAGGTAACATCATCAGTGCTGGAATATTCTCTTCTATTGGTACTTCTTACAATACGCTCATATGGAGTCATGCAGTCACCTCACCAACATATCCATATACCCGGGTCCCACTGTTGTCTAAAAAGGATCCCAGATTACCTTCCACTTCCCAATAACTAAATAGAATCTTTTGAGAATCATGTTTTCATGTAAATTCTCAGGTATCCACAGCAATAAAATCGTATAAATTGTCGCTTCTTTTCTGATCCTTTGGTTTTGCAAACGAATGGCCTGTTAAATGGCAGCATTTGAACAACTGGGCTTAAAAGCTCTAAAAAGTCTTACATGGACTTCCGGTTTTGCGTGCTTGAAACTGAGTGACGAATTTGATCTTCTCTTTTCTATTCTATATTTAATTTCCTGGAAAAGATCCCCAAGAAGCAAAATACCTACGAAAGGAAAGGAGGGGGATTTCTGCCCCACCCTTATACTAAGGGAAGTGGTGAATTAATCTTTTTATGGAGGATCAAAATATATGGAAGTGAAACAAATATAAAACCTGAAATTTAAAACTAAAATCTAAAATTGTTGAATGGTTAAGACTCTCATTCTAAAGATTTTGAAAATTGAAAAATAAATAGATGCTGACACGTAGTGGTGGATGAAGACTATGAGAACTGTGACTTTAATATAAGACTTGGAAAAACCTGGGAAAAGCTAATCTGTGTTTCTGACCTTCAAAGCTGTGACAAAAAGGAGAGACAATAATCTGGGCTGTAAACAATGTGAGTTATAAATTTCAGGGAAAAAAATCTTTTTTGAACTATTTGGATTACAAATACTGTATCTATTTAATCGGGACTCTAAAGCTGTTTGCAGAGAAAAGAAAAGAAGAGAAAAACTCAAATTCTTGGCCATCATGGATCAGAGACATGTAAAAAGAACATATCAAGAAAACATAAATACTCCATAGGTGGAGATATATAGTATACCGCAAATAATTCAAATAACAATGATTTTAAACCACAAAGAAATCCAAAATAACTTTGAAAATACAGTATAAATCAATCTATTTCCAAGTTAACTCTACAACAAAAAAATTCCCAGAAAACAAGAACAGAGAAGGAGCAGATAAAACAGATAAATGGATACAAAATTGAGAATAGAGACTTAAAGATGGAACTTAATAAAACAAGTAAACATAATTTAATCCTAGTGAGAAAAATATCACAATAATTGGGAAAATGATGATGGGACCTCCCAGAGAGAATACTTAAAAAAGAAACATTTGTTTGAATATGGTTAAAGAAATAGAAAAGATTTGGAATATATATGTCACTCTAAGAGGGATGAATCCCATAAATAATATAGTATGCTTTCCTCCCCCCTGTTTTAGATATTTAATTGTAATTGAATTTAAGAAAATTATCATGGATAAAAAATGTTTTGAATAAGAGTTAAAGGACTAAATGATTAGATGTATTAAATGGAATATTTAAAGATTAAACATATTTTTAATTATGGTTAAAAAGAATAAGAAATATTGGAAACAAATATATATTAGCTTAGGAGGGATATATATTTTAAGTAGTATGTTATTTTTTATGTTTCTTTACTCTTGCTCTCCTTTCTTTTTTTTCACTGTTTTATCTATTCCTTATTAAAAAGTTTTTATTTTCCATTTATTCATACAAAATACAATTAAATTCCTAACCACTGGTACCGCCTGCCCATTCCCCCCAGGCTGCATCCACCCTCTCTAACCTTCCCCATATCCCTCCTCTTTCTCTCCTCCCCTCCTACTCTCTTCCCCTCCCCTTCTCCTCTAACCATCCTACTTCCTTCCTACTCCTTCCTCCCCTCTCATCCGTCTCACACACATGAATGCAACATAGAGGAAATGCCCAAGCATTTACCATGACTATATTATCATTACCCACCCACTCACCCACCCACCCACCCTCAACCCTCCCCCCCTCGCTTCCCAGAGCAGAGTACAGGGTTATTATTAAGAAAGTTAACAATAATAAGAAAATAAAACAAAAAAGAAAAAAGAAAAAAAAGAGAAGAAAAAACATCATACTTAACCTTTAACTCCCCTTAAATTAAGTCATATAAACAAATCTCTACAACAGTTACTATAAAATTTACTCATAAAATAAATGAAACTTTATAGTCCCATATTTTTTCTGAATATAATCTATCCATCTTCTCCATACAATAATATATCTTTCTTGTGTATGATCCTTCAAATAAGCAGAAATTTTTGCCATTTCTGCAAAGTTAGAAACTTTAAATATCCATTCTTCTAAAGTAGGCAACGAGTCCTTCTTCCAATAGGAGCCTACTAATAACCTTGCTGCAGTTAATAAATTCAACATTAAAGTAGTTTCTTTGTCATTTAAATCCACAAAGATACCCAATAAGAATAATTGAGGGGTGAACTTTATCTTCCTTTTAAAAATCTTTTGAATGTTCCATCAAATCATAATCCAAAAAGCCTTTACCTTTTTACAATTCCACCAAACATGAAAATATGTCGCATCCATATTACCACATCTCCAACATTTGGGTTGTAAATTTGGATACATACAAGATAATTTTTTAGGATCTAAATGCCATCTGTAAAACATTTTATAAAAATTTTCCCTCAAATTTTGAGCTTGTGTAAATCTAACATTTCTAATCCAAATTGTCTCCCATAAGACCAGTGGGATCGGATCCTGGATATTCTGAGCCCATTTAATCATACAGTCTTTAACCAATTCTGTTTCAGAGTCTAAATCTATTAAAGCATTGTAAATTCTTTTTATATGGGCCTGACTCTGATCTTTAATCTGAATAACCAGATTTCCATCTTCTAGTGTTATTCCTTCTTTTTTATCTACAGTCCACCTGTCCACTATTTGTAAATATTGAAACCATGACTGTAGAATATTTTCTTGCCTTAATATATCTAGAGATTTTAAATGCCAATCCGAACCTGACCAAGTTAATAATTCTTTATACAAAATTTTATCAAAATTCATCCCCTTAGAAATTCCCTCAATTGCATGTCTAGGAATTCCCCAGATAGGTATTTTACAGTTTAACCTATAATAATACTTTTTTCCAAACTCGAAGTAAGGCACTCCTCAAAATATGTGATTTGAAAGCCCGGTCCACTTTCTTATTAAAAATTAAATATGCATGCCAACCATACATTAAGTCCCATCCTTCAAGAACAAGAATATCCTTATCTGTTAAATTAAGCCAATCACTTATCCAAGTTAAGGCGTCTGCATCATAGTATAATTTCAAGTTAGATGCTTTAAGTCCTCCTCTTTCTCGGGCATCTTGCAAAATCTTAAACTTAACCCTTGGTTTTTTCCCAGCCCAAATGAATTTATTGATACCCTTCTGCCATTCCTCCAAATTTACATCTTTTTTTTAAAATAGGTATCATCTGAAACAAGAAAAGAAACTTTGGTAGAACATTCATTTTTACAGCTGAAATTCTCCCCAACAATGACAACTGCAGTTTTTTCCAGTCATTTAAATCCTTTTGCACTTTTGCCCATAGTAATTCATAATTATTTTTATACAATTTTCCATTTGAGGCAGTTAAATATACTCCCAGATATTTAACCTTTTTCACCATCTGAAAACCTGTGGCTTTAACCAAACTTTCCTTGTCATTGGCTAACATATTCTTAGATAATATCTTAGTCTTATGGTTATTGACTTTAAAACCAGAAACTTTTCCATACTGTGTTATAAGTTCTAATAGACAATCAACCACTCTAATCGGTTGTTCCAAAATCAAAACCAAATCATCCGCAAAAGCCCGTAATTTATACTCATTTTTTCTTATCTTTATACCCTTGATTACTGTTGATTCTCGAATCTGGATCAACAAAATCTCCAATGTCAAAACACATAACAATGGAGATAATGGACATCCTTGTCTTGTCCCTTTTTCAATATTAAAAGTCTCAGTCAATCCCACATTAACAACAATTTGAGCAGATTGTTGCTGATATATAGCTTTAAGTGCATGTAAAAAATTACCCCCAAAATTCATTTTCTCTATCATTTTCTCTACGCCTATCTATTCCTTAAGAAATGTAAAAGTGTGAGATGGTTCATATGGAAAAAATAG